TTTGTTTTTTCTCTTTTTGAAGCAGGGTCTCCCTGTGGCCCCAGGTGTCCTGGAACTATGTAGACCAGGCTGGCCTTGAACTCACAAAGATCCGCCTCCCTCTGCCTCACAAGTCCTGGGACTACAGGCGTGTGCCACCATGCCCAGCAGCAAAGCTGTTTTTTAACCACTAATAGATCTAGTAAATGATCCACTGAGGGTAGCTGTACAAAACTGGCTTCTAACTTAAGATTTATGGATTATGTATGACACTGCTTTTCTTCCTGGGAAAGATGGGGCTCAGAGGCCAAAATGTGAAATCAAGAATTTTGGGCAGGCTTTAAGAGGGAGACAGGACAAGGGTCTAAACTTGAACCAGTGTCCAGTCTATAAAGAGGAGGGTCAACACAGAGGAATCATTTCCTCCATGCTTCCAAGCGAAGCCAACCATGGTTGAAGAGGACCTTTGACTTATCTTCACATAGGCAGAACTGGTAAAAGAAAGGAGCCAGGGGCTCCTCCCAAGCCCATGTGACCCCTGAGGAACAGATCCTCAAATGACCTTAAGAGTAAAAATAAATCGGTTTATCTAGACCAACTGTATGGCCTTAAACACCCTAAAGGAAAGTATCACCAAAGATTAAAGGGGCCAATATAATTTCATTAGAGTACATATGTATAGCTAAAGGCTACATAACAAGCAACAATGCCAGATAGGAGATACCCTCTTTTGAGTTGTTGGCCATGGTGGCCAAAGGGATTCCCAGATAGTAACCCAGCATAGAACTGGGAAAATGAACAGCAGACCCCAATCTTATCCAAAGGAATATTGACAACTGATTACTGCTAGATGAGGAACAGCTGACCCTCCTAAAACAAAGACCTCCAGATAGGCTGACTAGATTCACCAAAAGGGCAAGTAGTGGGGCATGGCTGGGGGTGCCCACAACACAGCAGACAGTAGCAGGGATATCAGAGTATATTTTAATCAAAAAAGTTGCCTGGGACACTTCTGCAAAATTTATGTGCCCCAACTCTTTCCCTACCATTGACTGGTGAGAATTAAATTGGAATAGGTTTTTAAAGAATATTTTATTTATTCTTTTTATTTTATGTGTATCAGTGTACTGCCTGCCTGTATGCAAGTGCACTAGTGCCCTGCACTGTCCGTGGAGACCAGAAGAAGGCATTGGATTCCCTGGAACTGGAGTTAATGGACAGTTGTTAGCCACCATGTGGGTGCTGGAAACCAAACCCAGGTCCTCTGCAAGAGCAGTCAGTGCTCTTAACCATTGACATCTCTGTAGCCCCTATGATAGATTTTGAGAAACCTTTCCACAGTGTTTTGTTGCCTTTATCCTGTGTCTTCTGGCTGAAAAACACTGCTCTATAGATTTCAGTTAATGGTCCCCCTTATCTTCAGGGACTATATCCCAAGACATCATGCAGGTAATCTAGAGCCATGGATTGTATTGACCCCTGTATGTACTTTTTTTTTCTCCTGTGAGTCCATACCTGTGATATAAAATTTAATGCATAAATTAGGCCCAGTAAGAACTTAAGAGTAACTAACAATGAATTAGAGGAATCAGAACTGTGTAGTATAATAAAAATATTTAAAACTTATATATTGTTTATTTCTGAAAAGTTATTTCTGACCACAGGTAACTGAAACTGTAGAGAATGAAACAGTAAATAAGGGAGACTACTATTATCCCATCTACCTCATTCTTAAGTAGAGTTGGTTGTTTATTTCATTGTCAAAAGGAGGGAAAGCCTTTCATCATCCAAAAAGTTTTAACAGAATTAGAACCTAGGGCCTATAAGTTACTTTTCACATTGTGTGTGTGTGTGTGTGTGTGTGTGTGTGTGTGTGTGTGTATGTGTTAACTGGATCTAATGTGTTCTTAAACTGGGGATGGTATGAAGTGTAAACATATGTTATTACTAGAAATTTTTGAAGATACATTTAGAATTGTATTTTAGTTCCCTGAGTTTTCTGAAACTATATATACACTAACATGGACCATGCTAGTTTGACAGTGCTATATAGTCATTGTGGAATTCCTCTCACCCTCTTGACTCTGCTTTTGCTGTGCTAGACCTATTCTGGAGGCTTAGTTCCTACTAAGGCTATGACCTAATGATCACAAACATTACTACACTCAGTTTTTCTTCCAAATGAAAACTAAATGTTAGTATTATAGTCCTGACTCATGCCCATCCCAGAATGGGTTGAATTTGGTGTCTTGCTGTCATGAAGAATTGGTAAGAGGCAAATTGCTTTCTTGTTGCTAATGATATGAACTGTTGTACACGCACTACATGTGATGTGCTGTACATATTACCATTGGCCTTACAGTGGACCATAGAACATGTAGTATATAGTTTTACAGCTAAGGAAACTGAGGCTCAGAAGGAAAAATATATTCTTTAAGTTAGAGAACTATTAGAGAGGACCAGAAGCCATGCATGGTGTGTTTCTGTAATCTCAGCTACTAGGGAGGCTGAAGGAGGAGGATTGTGAGTTTGAGATGAAGGAGACACTGTCTCAGAAAAAAGAACCAGCAAGCTAGTTCAGCTTGATGTGAATAAAGCACAGTACAAGGTTGCTGCCTAGTCACAAGTATAAATCACAGCAGTGCTGTAGAGTGTAAAATAAACACAGCCAGGGCATTTTTAGCCTTAGAGAAGGCAGAAGTCTGAGGACAACCGAAGTATTTATTCTCAGGCGGTTGCCATTGATCTAGGCCCAGCTGTGAGGCCCTGGCAGCCTCTGGTTTTCTTTCCTTGTCTCTAAGTCTATTTTCTACTGGTCATATGATTTCTCAGCACCTCGCTTATCACTGTGTACTGTGCACACAGCTCCCCCATCCCAGCCTTGTTGCCTGCCTCCCTGTGTCCTTCCAAAGATATACCACTCTACTGTATACAATTAATATGCATAGAGTTTACTAGAGTGTCTGGCACAGGATGAATATTCAGTACGTGTTGGCTTCATTTATTATTGGTATTGTAGTGGTGGTGGCAGGAGTAGTTGATTCACCCTCCTCCAGGACCTGAGTATTCCCTACCCAGAATCTGGCTTTGTGAAGTTCATTGTACCGGGCCCTAGGAACAGACATGATGAATCAGATGCATAGGACAGATGGAGAGAGAATTAGTAAAGGAGTGCTAGTTTCTATCCACAGGTTGCAGAAACGTTCCTCTGTGTCTGCCTGTACTAACCACCGCCTTGTTATTGGCCATGGAAATTGTCCATGAATCCCACTTTCAGATCGCATCTGATTTCCATACGTTCCTTTTATCTGTGTGGAACAATTATGGTTTTAGAGCTCCGAAGAGGCTAACAATGATAACAAAAATCCCTTTTAAGAGAAATGGTTGTTCATTTGTACTGTAGCTTGTGCCTCCCTTCCTGATGGGTTCCTGGTCCCCTCGAACACAAGGTGTGTAGTGTTACTCCATCAGGAAAGGCCTCTCTAATATCCTCTCCACCTTTTTTTTTTTTTTCCTGGCATCCTTTTATAGTTCTCATTTCCTGCGTAGTCTGTTTGCTTTTCTGTTTTTACACCTAATCCTAATTCTTCCCTCTGTCATAGCCAAAAGGCTGAGAAATAATCACCAAATTCTTATATTTAGTTGTATTTCTAGTGCTGATTTGAGTGCTCTGTGGGAAAAACTATTGACTTCTCAAAACTTGTTAGGGACTCAGAAGATTGTGCCAGGTTGGAGTCTTCAGCTCTGTGGGCAACCATTCTTTCCTGTGCCCTCTCCCTTAGTCTGTAACACTGCACTTGGCTGATCTCATTGGGGGGTGTTTGGAGCCTCACTTCCTCTTCCGGCAAGTGATAATGTGGGTCTCCCTTCCCTTATGGGTCATTGGCCACCTATCCACGAGAACAGAGACAGCTTCAGTGAGACAGTTCGTTTATTCAGTGGGGGTCAGGGAAAAATAGAGGGTGGAGGCAGCAGCCAAAGCTTCAGCTGATAGGTGTTCATAGTATGCTTTAGTTACATGTGGTAGGGGGATCCTATCATCTGGCTATAGGGCAATGCCTAATTATCATATAGAAAAAACCTGGGGGCAGTTTTATTGCAAAAGGTCATGTTCCAAATAAGGCCAGGCATCTGTGCTTGGTGGCCCTTTCCAGATAAGGTCAGGCAGAGAGCAGGAAGCCCCTGCTGAGAAAGGGAGTTCTCCATACAGCACCTAGCTCCTTAGAGCTATCTGGACATGGCAGACTGCAACCTTAGCAGCAGGGTTCCCCAACATGATGATACCTACTATCTTTGTCTTCTCTTTGGTTTTTATCACATTAAAAGTATCTGTTAATCTGTGATTTCCAGTTAAGCTTCCCTTTTTATATTTGTAAATATACAAAATATAGAGGGCATGATTTAGGTCTGAGTATTATTTTAATATATCTGTTATGGAACTTTTTAATAACTAGTATTAATTGTGGTTATCCCAATTTAAGTGTAATCTGCATTGTTTCCTAGAAAGTGGTAATTCTTAAAAGTAAAATTAAAAACTTATTCTGACACCCTGAGTTGACTATAATGTTGGTGTATATTTTTCTGGTTTTCACTCAGCATTCTATTCATATCAGTATGTAGTCATTAATAGACATATTTCCATTTTGATGATTATGTATTAACCAAAGTTTATAACTTCCATAAAAACTATAATTTATGTTATATCACAGTATTGGGATAGCCCAATAAAATTTTTTGACAGAGCAAAAAAACTGAAATAGATGGTTTGTGATAAAATGTGCATATCATAAAAATATAATATTAGGAAAATAAATTATGAAAATAAGTCCTTCAATACGGATTCTCACTGTTAACATTATAAGTAGTTATTTTTCAAAAATTCCACCTCTGATTCTCTTTGTGAAATGCTTATTGTGAAGCCGTGTAGAATGATGTTCTTTATATTTAGGGTTAGTCAAATACTCAACGAACTAGACTGTGTTTTGCAAAATAATATTTCAGTTCTTTTCTCCATGCTTTAGGTATGTGTTCTTTTTGGATCCATGCAATCTGGACTTGATAAATCGGAAGATCAAGTCTGTAGCACTTTGTGTGACAGCGTGTCCGACACAAGAATTGAAAACCTTGAGTGATGTCCAGAAATTTGCAGAGATTAACGGTGAGACTTAAGGCTGTCCAAATCTGTACCATGGTTCCCTTTTGTCACTGTTAAATATTACATGTTTGCATTCTAGTTGACGTTTGTCTTACTAGTAAATATGTCATAAAATAACCTTTAAGAGGAAAAAATAATTGAATTTTGGAATCCCTAATTTAAAAATACTAGAGTCAGCGAGGCGTGGTGGGTTACACCTTTAATCTTAGCACTTGGGAGATGGAGGCAGGCAGATATCTGTGAGTTCAAGGCCAGTCAGAGTCACATAGTGAGAGTTACCCTTGTCTCAACAAATAAATGAATAACTAAAGAGTCAGTTTAAGGAACTTGTTAAAACTCTAAGATTTGTTGGGTTCAGTGGTGCTTGTCTATAGTCGTAGCCACTGAGGAGGCTGAGGCAGGAAGATTGTTTAACCCTAGTTTGTATACCTGTCAGATGGTGTCATTCACTGGTTAAGAGTATCAGCTATGAGTGAGACCAATTGTTTGGTTCAACTGTTGCTTCTATTTGGTAACTTTGAGACCCTGGACAAGTTATTTGACTTCTCCATACCTCAGTTTCCCCAGATGCTATAGGGTTAATGTCTGTACCTAACATACCTCATTAGAATTTTTATGATAAATCAGTATATGAAAAATATTTAGAACAGTATCTTGTAAAAAGACAGTGAAAATGAAAAATGGTAAAAAAATGGTGTTGATTGCTGTCGTTCCTCTTCTGCAGTGGAATGTGGTAGCCCCCCCCCCCCACTGTCTCCATTAGCAGCCTTATCAGTGGTCAGAGTTTTCAGTCCACACTAGCCCACTGCTCAGAAATAATCACTGGTGAAAAGTTAAAGTCTGTGTGTGTCTTACGCTGGCACTCAGAGCTGTGGTCTAGCCTTGGACTGTCTTCCAACATGTCCTCTCAAACATACTGGATGTAAGTGTTGCTGCTTTGAACTTTAGCTGTCATCGGGAGCTTGTCCTTGTCCTCTGTGTGGCCTTCTGTCCTGATCTGTTACGGAGAAATGGCCTATGCTTTCCTCTGGCATGTTTTGTTTCCAGGCCAGTGTCCCACTAAGTGAATGTGATACTGGGTGTGGTGTATCTTAAGAAGACCCTCCCAGTGAGGATGGTAGCTTTGTCTTTCAGAAGTATCAATCTATAAGTGTTTCAGAATAACACCTTTAGACTTTGGGGTCAGTTGCGTTATAAAAAAAATAATAAAGAATCTGGGCACATTGGTGTACAGCTGTAATCCAGATCTTGAGAAAGGGCAGGAGAATGGTTAGTTCCAAACCAATCTGGGCTACATAGTGAGGGCCTGTCTCAAAAAGGCACAATATAATAATAATAATAATAATAATAATAATAGTAGTAGTAGCAATAGTAGTAACAGCAATAGTAATAATACAGCAGCATAAAAAAGCACAACAGTAGAAAGTAGAGACAATAATTTTAAGTAGCAAATGTAAAAGCTGTATTAAAATTTTAATAGCAAGGAAGCTTTTAGTACAGGAATCTAGTTTTAATAGCAAACTCTAAGTTGGAATTCCTGAATTTCTCAGAGGAACTTTAGTTGGTTTTTGGATGGTGATCTAAAACTGTACCTGGTAAGATATAATTTCACTATTACTATCATCACTGAGAGAGTTTTTCCTCCATTTCTTATGTTCATATCCTGCCACTTGGTCTTTGCAATCATTTGAAATGTAAATTTATTCAGAAGGAATAGACAGTTTATTAATATCTATTTGTATCTATGTTTATATAGTATATTCTGTTTATTTTCTGTTTATTTTAGAAAATAAAGGTCCTTTGATCCCAAATGTTTAGACCTCAGTTATCACTTCACAGAGGAGTCTCTTTAAGAGATGATTGAGAAATATTCAAGTCTCTTAAGAGAGAATAATTAAGTCTATGAAAAAGCTCAAACCTAAGAACTTCATCTAATGCAAAAACACAGATGAAAGCTTTGTGGGATTAGATTTGCAGTGATTTCTTGAATGGCACCTAATAACTATTACCTGAGTCATAGGAGACAAAAGAAAACAGAATTAGATTATGTCAAAACTGAAGTTCTTAGACGTGGTGCTGTGTGCCTGTAATTTCAGCATGTGGGATGCTGAAACAGGAGGATTGCTTCAAGTTCAAGACTAGTATGGGCTGTGTGGCAAGACCCTGTCTCAAAAATCAATCAATCAATCACAAACTTTTATGCACTCAATGACAAAATCAAGAAAATGAAAGTCAACTAATGCAATGGGAAAAAATATTTGCAATTCTTTATGTCTGGTCAGGGGTTAATGTTCAGGAAATAGAAGATCCAACATTTAAAAATAAAACAAACAATCCAAGTGCTGGTGAAGCTGTAGAGAAATCAGAACCTTTGGGCACTGTTGATGCAAATGCTAAATAGTATGGTTCACATGGAGAACAGTATAAAAGTTCCTTTAAAGTCCACCAATCTCCACTCTCTGAGTACTTATTTAAAAGAATTGAAAACAGGATCTGAACCCCCACTTACATGTCCATATTCACTGCAGTGGTATCAACAGTAGTCAAGAGATGAGATCAGCCTAAATGCCCATTGACAGGGGAATCAATAAAGAATCTTGCAAGCCAGATGTACTGTCCAGTGTCTCAAAAAGAAGAAAAAGAAAATGTCTTATATACATGTAACAAAATTAAGAAAAAAGTAAGCCCAGTCATGTGCTACTACATGGATGAAATGAGGACATCAAGCCAAGAGAAATAATTGCCACAGGACAAAACGCTGTAGGATTCCTCATACATTAAGTTCACCAAGACAGGAAGCAGAATGGTAAATGGTAGGGGCTCTAACAGAGTTGAAATAGGGAGTTATTGTTTAATGGGTTAAGAGTTTCAGTTTTTCATGAAGAGCATTCTGGAGATGGATGATGGTGTTGGTTGTGAACTCTTGTCAGTGTACGTAATGTCACTGAACTACAAATAGTTAAGATAGTTTCATGTTACATTTTTTTTCATAATTAAAAAAAAAAGTCCTTAAAAGAGAAGGATCTTGTATGAGTTACTTTTTAAATGCTAATTCTAAGACAATTTAAAATGCAGGATAAAAGTGTTTCTTACTAGAATGAAAAGATAATGTAAATCCTTTTCAAAAATTTTGAGTTTCCATGACAGCACTTGAAAGTACTTTCTAGCACTTAAAACCACCCATTTACATAAACTTTTGTTATCTTTAGAAATTTGGTCCTGTAACAGTGTTTGTAGAAATATATTTATTAGGCAAATAAAATATTCCTTCAAATCTTTGTTTCTTTTAGGCAAGGAAGAGGAGTTGGTTTTTTGGGATATTTGTATCTGAGTATGGTAGAGAGGTTAGAAGAAATATCTGGAAATTGGATTGTTTATATGAGGATGCTGCTTTCCTACAAACAGCTTCAGATGGGAGCATTTAGATGGATGTGAAAATACACATTCTAATATGTGAATTGGGTGATAGATAATTGTGAATTTCCCATGATTCATAATTCATACATGGCACGAATATACATACATGATGCTAGAAAACAGTTTTAAACAGCCTTTTAAAAATTCAAGTTACCAAATACCACAAGGACTTAGTATTAAACGTCTTTCAGTGCTTTATCATCTTGTCGAAGTTGTATCTGGATTTCCTGGGGGCAGGATCCGGCTGTATTTATCTCTGAGTATCCATGCCCGAATACAGGAACTCACATAATGCTTTACAAAGAAGAGTGGACTGGATTTCCCTATCTGTCTCTATTGCCGCTTAATAATTTCTAATTCTCAGCATTCTTTATCTGTCATTCTATATCCATATAAGTTGCTACCAGCAGGGAAATTGTTTGACTTCAGTCTAACCAGAATTGCTGTGAAGTCAGTTCTTTTTGTTCATCTCAAAGTAATTCATCTTATTCATCTCTGTCTTATACATCCTCTCTAAGTGATTGTTTGTACCCTTTCTTCCCTTATGTTCTCTTGTTCATTCTTTCATAACCTTATGCCCTACAGAGGAAACTGAAACCTGGTGAAAGCGACATCTGAATTACTGTCAGCAGGACAAAAATTCCATCGTTCTGTTTTCCTTCCCTTTAGTTTCTGAGGAACAGGTCGCTTTCCTTTCTTATTATGATTTTATGAAAACTCAAATAATGCATCCATTGTAGAGGAAAAATGAATCTCCGTCCTTCTGAAGCTACCTTTGGTTTTCTGTGAGATTTTTAACTGAACCCAAGCAGACCATGGCAGGTACTAAAGGAAGACTGTAACAGTGCTTGCTCAGGCAATTCTCCTTCCTCTCTTCTGTCACTAATTCCAGCCCACCACATCTGGCCCCTTTGCTGAGTATGGGCACCTGAGTCTTAATGAATAATTTAAGCCCTGAGTTTTGCTTCAACATACCCATTTATTGGTCTCTACTAGGTACTTAGGATAGGGTTTTATTCTTTCCCTTGCTAGCTAAATTCTAACCAGCAGTTTAGAGATGAAGATCTCATCCAACTACTTATAATAATCTGTAAGTTATAGACTGGCCACACATTCTCATTGGGTGCAAATATTTCGTGTGGTTTTTTTTTGAGGGGGGGTGTCTTTTTGAGATAGCATCTCCCTGTAGCCCCAGCTGATCTGGAACTTACTATGTAGACCAGGCTGGTCTTGAACTCAGGGAGATCCACCTGCCTCTGCCTCCTGAGTTCTGGGATTAAAGGTGTTCACCGCCATGCCAGGCAGTGCTAACATTTCACATGGAATTTTTCATACTGTTTCCATTATTCTTACCAAATTATTTTATAATATAGACTCTTCCCTAACACAGTGGCAAACCGTGGCAGAAATCTTTTTTGCTTATTGCATCCTATTTCTGTCCTAATTCTGCATATGAAAAGCAGAATTATTTAAAAGTGCTTCTTTGAAGTTCCATATTTCTTAAATTCTGAGAGTTTTATGGCCTGCCATTTGGATCATATACATATTTTGACTACAGCTTTATGTGTTGCTTTCATAACGATCGT